AGCAAGACACGCTGACGTATATTTCGACCAATAGCAAGACACGCTGACGTATATTTCGACCAATAGCAAGACATGTTGACATATATTTCGACAGAAGAATTACGTTAAGACTTGTTAAATAGCTATATAAACGTAAGTCAGTTAATTGTCATCTATATGCAAGCAATGATGTCGTTTATAGAAGGATTTTTCCCCTTAAAAATATAAAAAAAATTACAGTAAGGGAAAGGGGAAACTTTTTAAAGATTGATTAAAGAAGACACACACTAGGAAAGTTTTGAAATACGTTCTAACCCGTGCGTCTACGTGGGCATGAGTTCGAAGTTGTTGAGCCGTGTTTATATTTGAACTGCAGTCAAAATTTCATTTGCTAGATGTTAGTATTCTTTGAACTGTGGAGTGATAAATATTAAGAATGTCTACCTGGCGCAAAATTGAATACCGAGCCATTTTGGGATATAACTTTGAACGCGGTTTGGGCATTGAAGAATGCTTGCAAGAAATGACTCCTGTACTGGGAAATGATTGTCCACATCGTACTACCATATTCATGTGGTATCGTGAGTTTCAGCGAAAAAAATATGGCATAAGAGACGCGCCAAGGTCAGGATGTCCAGCTTCGTCAGTTAATGAGGAAAACATCGCTGCTGTCAAATTATTATTGGATACTGATCGACATATAACTTATCACCAGATAGAGGAGAGTTTAGATATTCCTGCACCAGAAATTCATTCCATTCTGCACGACCATCTAGAAGTGAGTAAAGTTTGTTCCTCTATGGGTTCCCCATTCTTTAACTGATGAACAGATGACTTGACATGTTTCATGGTGCCGAGAGTTGCTCAAAAAGTGTGATAATGGATCATCTCGTTATGTCAATAGCATCCTAACTGGTGATAAAACTTAGATTTATTATTTTGATGTGCCTACTAAAGCCCAGAACAAAGTATGGATCTTTGAAGATGAAAAAGCACGCCTGTGTCTTTACAAAAATCCAAATTAATTGAGAAGGAAATGTTAGACGTCTTCTTTACTGCCAGAGGAGTTGCGATTCGTGCGGTACTGGAAAATAAAAAGACAGTCACTGTCAAGTGGTATACTGTGGAATGCCTTCCTAAAGTTGTTCAAGCTATCAAAAAGTTAGTCCAAACTCAAGGACTGACACATGGCTTTTCCACGATGACACGTACTGGACTAAAACTGTTAAGAGCATCCTCCCTACAGTCCAGACCTTTCACCCTGAGACTTTGCTCTCTTCCCTCATGTGAATAACAGACTAAAAGGTAAAACCTTTTTCTGCGATGAAGATCTTTTGAGAACATGGGATGACGCCCAGCTCCCTGAGGAAACGTGGAAGAGTTGGTTTGATGACTGGTTTCAAAGGATGGAGAAGTTTATTGATTATGGTGGAAAATATTTTGAAAGATTGTAAATAATAAAGTCAAAACTTTCCTAGTGTCCTATGTACATACAATATAATGTACCGAGTACTAATCTAATTAAATAAATTTCTTCATTAATTTTTCACACAGTTAAAGAGAACCCCCATTAAAAATTACGTACTTTTTAATAAAATAACAAAACACAACAAAAAGTAATTTAGAAAGTTTTAAAACTTAATTCTATTAAAAAATAAGCATGGTTTTTTTTTAAATTATGAAATATGTCAGAGTTATCTTTGTAACAAAGTTTCCCCTTATTATAAATACATAAACTCTGTTACAAAGCTATACACCATTTTTCATAGAGAATGTATGCAATTTACTAAGATAGCTTTTGTCATGTTTTTAATTATACAAAATTTATTAAACAATACATCTCTTAAACATTGGTATAATAAGATTTTTTTCCTTTGTGTTGAAAGAATAAAATTTTGAAAAAAAATCGAAAATTTTAGAAATTTTGTCGATGTGATTTTGCTTTTCTTTGTAACGATTAATTGATATTTTTATGAAATTTTTGGAAGAGGGTTTTATCATATCAAGTCCATCAAATTTTTTATTTAGCTTGAGATAAAATGAGACCCATTAAATATATTTATATAAAAAAGGCATACATGGATCTGTGAGAAAGAAAGACAAATTTTCTTAAAATATTTCGAGGAATTTCTCTCTCATTATGAATTTATTGCACTAAAAACAAATCTTAAAGTAATTACTACAAAAAAAAATATTTTACAGATCCAGGTAACACACGCCCACTCTATCTTTTTTTTAATTCATACATTTATCATTATATAATCTTATTTAATTAAAAAGGCATATATTGGATCAAAATATCATTTATTTTACCAATATTTCAGTTGGCTGAACGCCAACCTTTATCAAGGTGTTATAACATTTTAAAGTGTGTCAACAACAAACTTAGCGCCACATAACTCAACAGCATTAAGTTTTTAATTAAATATTTATCTATGGATTGCTCTATTTTCAAAATAATTTTATTTATTCATATTTATACTGTATTTAACCTTATATAATCTTATATGAACATTGTAATAAATCAGTTTCAATCTCAATCTCTTTCTTTCTCTTTTAATAAAATAACTCTTAATAAAATTTATTTTCAATTTTATATTAAAAAAAAGAAAAGAAATTGGTGTCTCACAAAATCAAAACACAACAGCAACAATAATAAAAAAAAAACTCTTAGACATTAATTTCAAGAGAAAGATATTATCATAAAAGGATAAATTTAGTAGAAAAGAATGAAGGATAAAAGTTGAGAAATGTGGGAAGGATTAAGACAACCTTACACGAAGAAAGAAGGAACAAAGGATTAACGAAAAAAAAAAAAAAAAGAGTAAGATAAAAAAAAGAAGGTACAAACCTTTTTTATTATCATCTTCATCCATTTCTAAGCGTTTCACGGCAAGGTCCTCTTCCAAATCGGCATAATCTGTAAGCACACATGGTACGTGAGAACGGCGTCTTTCGATGTCTCGCTCATTATTAAAATTGGCGCCATGGGTCCATCGGTCAGAGTATTATCATTCTTTTGATGGTCCGCCTCGGCTTTGTCACCTCCTCCTTTCTTTTATTATTGTAATTCACGTCGGGTTTAATCCCACCATGTCTGGGGATTTACATCCGAAATTACGATGTCTGCTTTGGTGGTCAAAGTTGAACTTAAGAAAGAAAAGATGTCCTGACCTTCTCTTTGGGTGGATTTATTTGGTTATGTGATTATACTCCGTCTTTGAGAGAGAGAGAGATTTACATCTTACATTGAGGTTGTTTAACTGAAGAATGGAAGACTAGGGTGGATCCTAAATTAGGTTAGAGGATTCTTTTATAGGTCTTGATTTGAATATAAAATTGTGAAGTCTGGTGGAATGGGTTGAACCTAAGATGGCTGCTGTCTAGAATTGTTTTTGTGTAGGTGAAACAGTTTTATCTCGCTTCTTTCAAGATATGAATGATAAATTGTGAATTCTGGTGGAATGGCTTAGACCAAGAAGAATGCTGTGTAGGTGAAACAGTTTTAGCTCGCTTCTTTCAAGATTTGAATGGTAAATTGTGACTTCTGGTAGAATGGGTGGACCTAGAAGAATGCTGTCTAGAGTTGTTTTACTGTAAGTGAAACAGTTTTAGCTCGCTTCTTTCAAGATTTGAATGGTAAATTGTGAATTCTGGTAGAATGGGTTGGACCTAGAAGAATGGTGTCTAGAGTTGGTTTTGTGTAGGTGAAACAGTTTTAGCTCGCTTCTTTCAAGATTTGAATGGTAAATTGTGAATTCTGGTGGAATGGCTCGGACCTAGAAGAATGCTGTCTAGAGTTGTTTTACTGTAGGTGAAACAGTCTTAGCTCGCTTCTTTTAATATATGAATGGTAAATTGTGAATTCTGGTGGAATGGCTTGGACCTAAAAGAATGCTGTCTAGAGTTGTTTTACTGTAGGTGAAACAGTCTTAGCTCGCTTCTTTCAAGATTTGAATGGTAAATTGTGAATTCTGGTGGAATGGCTTGGACCTAGAAGAATGGTGTCTAGAGTTGTTTTACTGTATGTGAAACAGTTTTAGCTCGCTTCTTTCAAGATTTGAATGGTAAATTGTAACTTCTGGTAGAATGGGTGGACCTAGAAGAATGCTGTCTAGAGTTGTTTTACTGTAGGTGAAACAGTTTTAGCTCGCTTCTCTCAAGATTTGAATGGTAAAATGTGTTAATTCTGGTAGAATGGGTTGGACCTAGAAGAATGGTGTCTAGAGTTGTTTTACTGTAGGTGAAACAGTTTTAGCTCGCTTCTTTTAAGATTTGAATGGTAAATTGTGAATTCTGGTGGAATGGCTTGGACCTAGAAGAATGCTGTCTAGAGTTGTTTTACTGTGGGTGAAATAGTTTTAGCTCGCTTCTTTCAATATATGAATGGTAAATTGTGTGAATTCTGGTAGAATGGGTGGACCTAGAAGAATGCTGTCTAGAGTTGTTTTACTGTAAGTGAAGCAGTTTTAGCTCGCTTCTTTCAAGATTTGAATGGTAAATTGTGAATTCTGGTAGAATGGATTGGACCTTGAAGAATTCTGTCTAGAGTTGGTTTTCTGTGTGTGTCTGTGTGAATATGTATACATGAAACATTTTAGCTCGTTTCTTTTAAGATTTAAATGGCGCAAGCGATCAAAAACTTTCAGTTGCACGATAAGGAGATGCCTTTTTTCTTAATATATCCACCTTATCTCAGCTTAAGTTTCAATTTGTAATATTTTTCACAATATTCCTTTTATTTTGAAAAAGCTCTCTCTCTCTCTTTTTTTTATTATTTATTTTTATATTTAACCTTATATAACCTTATATGGACGTTGTAATAAAGTGTAGTTTTAATATTGTAGCGAGAAGTATTTATTATTTTACACTAGTATTAACAGAGTATAATTTTTTATGTTTATATTTTACTACTCTGTAAACTTCCCTTATTCCTTATCTTTTGTTTACCATTCATAGTTTGTTCTTGTCTTAAATAAATTGCTGTGTCATCCTGAAGTTTGTCTTTCCTAATTTCCCACGTGGAAATGCACGTGGTTAGCATAGCTGTCTTCCAAGCAATTAATCCGGGTTCGATTCCCGGCCGTCGCATCTTTATTCGGGGCTCAAAAATCCTTCATTCTGGTTAGCAGCCCCGTAAATAAATATATTTTCGTTCCTGAGTTTTTGTTTTCCTTAATTTTCTACGTAGCAATATTAATCTCTCGAGAACGACGCTCTTCTACTGTCTTATCAAAACTTTGAGTAGGACGTTTATTTCAAAAATAAGAATTGTGCTTAAGATAATAGATATTTTTGCATATAGATGTGTGCTATTCCCTTTTGTTCTTTAGCACTCTTATGTCACTAATCAATTCCATGATCATTATGGGAAGTACGTGCTATATTGGTGGACAACAAGATGAAGTAGGGCATAGCACCATATGGTCAGTTGTAGGAAGTTGGTTTCACACTTCCTGGATGCTGGTTGGGCCATTAAATCCCAGCAGATGGGAGGTTAAAAGTCCATTTAAAAGCTGCCATGTCGTTAAAGGCAACTTACTAATGGAGAGTCTCGCTGTTTTCCACAAACTTCACAAGAATATTTCCCAAGTGGAATCCAACAGGAATATAGAGTTTAGTTGGTCATTAGCAACGTGGAAAACTACACAGAAGATTCTTGTTATAATTCGAATTGTCTATAATTTGGTTTTATCTTTATATATATGATTGATAATATTGATTATGAGAAAAAGATTAGATTTTACCTTTTTATCGTCATTTCCAGAGACTCCAGGGTAAATCCATTTATTAATCTATTTATTATCTTGATTGTCTTTATATAATTTTTCCTGTAAAACGACATTTGAAAATCATCCCGCATGAGTTTTCTTTTCAACGAAAAATCAAAATTTATTCCAAAGAGAAATAACGATTATTTCCAACCTAGACACTTTTATTTTTCCGTTTATCATTACTCTTCACAATTCATCTATTCATACTTCATCCCTAAAGTTGGAAATAATCGTTATTTCTCCTTGGAATAAATTTTGATTTTTCGTTGAAAAGAAACACATGCGGGATGATTTTCAAATGTCGTTTTACAATCACAAGCCGCATTATATTGTATTATAAATAAGTTTTCATGTAGATAAATATCATATTACCATTAAGGTACTATTACTGTTTTTCCTGCATGTATCCTACATTCCTGCTTGGAAAATCTGTATAAGACTTAAAGGTATTAATAAAGATTTTTGTTGTTGTTGTATATATATAGAGAGAGTTCCGGGATATTTCTATCTTTCTATTATTATTTTTGTCTATTATTGAAGCTCAACTTTTTCAACGAATAATCTTTTTTTATTACGTAGGGATAATATATAAACAAATAATATATATACAAATATACAGATAGAGGGTCTCCTCTTCCGTCAAAATAGACACTAAAACTAAACGTCATCGATTGACCGCCTCAGCAAACTAACGGACTCAGGTCAGTGACAAAGCCACGAGATCAGCTTTGGTAAACTGAGAAACATTCATTTAGAGACCATGGTACCGGGCTAATGGTCCTCGTTAATCTAGGACGGACTTATCGTGGGTTTTACACTGACCAGAGTCCGTTAGTTTGCGGATACGATCCAAAGATGACGTTTAGTTTTACGTCTATTTGTCGAGAGATGCGACTTTTATTTTTATACGAATATATATACCAAGGGAGGTACCTCTCCCTTTAAATATGCATTAGATTAATGCAGTAAAAATACTTAAAGGTGGTAATACAAGCATACAGCTTAGCTTTTGTCTGAATTTTATAAAACTGGTGTTGAAGCTAATTCTTTATTACTACTTTCAAGTTTTTACTTGTGTGATAAACATAATGCGATGCTTTTAATGCAATTTTCAAACTTTTTTCAATTAAGCTAAAATTTGAAAAAATGTAATGTATTACTGTATTTGTATAAAACGCACCATTTATATAAAATACTAGACGGGTGACCCGGGCTTCGCCCCGAGATTGACCCGTGTGCATATCTACCCGAGTGATATATATTTAGATAAGATTTTTTAAAATAATTGTTTGTTATTAGCATTATCTATTTGTTTGCATCAGCATAATTTAATCGTTGATAGAGGGCGCTGTTCGTGAGCTAAGTAGAATAATTTGAATATATAGTTTTAATAATTGATTTATATATTTTTAAATAGCCTATCGTCTTCCCTGTATTCTTTTACCTATGTATGGAAATTTTGGTTTGAATTAGTGAACTACTACGAATTTGTATACCGGGCATACAAACAAACAAACATACAAACATTGTTACGATGTACTAGAGCGCCATCTGTTATCAAATTATAAAACTATTTTAGAGGCGTAATATTCTTTTTAAAATAAAGCAATTTCTACTGTCCTTACTGCGATGGAAAAATTAATTAAAGGGAGGGCCTGGCTCATCAGTGGTGAACCCTCCCAGCGGTTTATAAACATTGATTTATATATATATAGATTTTGAAAAATTAATTCAATTTTAATGATTGTGATAACAAAAAGACTCATCACCTTTTTATTAATTGATTTCAAATCTCATCATTTGTCATATTAGAGCTTTATTCATATATTTTGAGAAGTGAATATACTTCTTTTAGAATGAATTCATCACATGTTGTGATGGATTAAATGGTAAGTTTATAATGTTGGTTCTGGATATATTTAAACTAATTATTTTAAACATATTAACCTTTAAAAAGTCGGTGGACGAGTGGGTAACACCCTCGATTCCCGACAGTCATGAACCGGGATTGAATCCCGCGTTAACATTTTGTTTAATATGTGAATAACTCACATATTATTCATTGTTTCAATTATCATAAACTAGGTTGCTCTTGTTGAGCGGTACCTAATAAAGTGATTTTGAACCTGGATATTAACCTTTTTCTTATTTTATTTATCAACGTTTAATATATTTTATTATTTATAATTAAGCTTATGTTTATAATTAATCTAAAATACCCATTCGAAGAGTCTAGAATCAGTATCACTATAAAAGTAAAATCGAAAAATGCAATATAACAGTGGTATGGTAGATTAAACTGGTGAAACCGCTGGGAGGGTTCACTATTGATGAGCCAGGCCCTTCGATTAATTTCTCCATTGCAGTAAGGGCAGTAGAAATTGTTTTATTTTTAAAAAGAATCGTACGCGTCTATAATAGTTTCGTATTTATTCGTAAGTAGAACGACATTTAAAAATTATCCCGCATGTGTTTCTTTTAAACGAAAAATCGAAATTTATTTTTAAGGAGAAATAACGATTATTTCTAACCTTAGAGATGAGGTATGAAAGGATGAATTGTGAAGAGTAATGATGAACGGAAAAATAAAAGTGTCCAAGGATGGGAATTTATAAGTGGGAATATTATAAGTTTATTATTTTCTTCTTTTGACTTGAAAAGGGAAAAAAGGGGCTACAGAAACATAGGACGATAAATATAGGAAACAGGTTAATGGGTTATAATATTTATGAGTATGTGGAGGGATATTATAATTTTCCTATCATAATATAATTGATATTTTACATAAGTAACATAAAGTTGTCCCAAAATTTGATAAACACCTGCAACAAATTCCGAATATATATCCATGTAATATATATATATTAAAAATAAAGGGAGCATCTCCTGACCACGAGCACATGTGCTTTTTAGACGGCAGAGCGCCATATAGTGGAGCAAAAATAAACTAAACGTTTATTTAACTTGCTCCGTGATATTTGGCCAACCCAATTTCTTGATAAATCAAGAAGAGTCATCCACGAACGCGTTTCGCGCTGTTGGCGCTCGTCAGCGTTGAGTAGGCTGTACCACTGCGACCAAAAACTTTTTGGTTTATCAAGAAATTGGGTTGGCCAAATATCACGGAGCAAGTCAAATAAACGTTTAGTTTATTTTTGCACCACTAGATGGCGATCTGCTATCTAAAAAGCACATGTGCTCGTGGTCAGGAGATGCCTTCTTTATTTTTAATATCAACACCTGACCCACTTATCTTTTATTTTTTTTCTATTGATTTTTCACACATATATATATATAGATATGGAAATTTTGCCTGGAGGAAATTGATCTAAAGAGATAAGGGTCGCCTCTCCCGTTAAAATAGACGTCTAAAACCAGATGTCATATGTAACATGCTTTGTATTTATTTATTTATTTATTTATTTATTTATGTAAAATATTTAATTATTCTATGATTTTTCTTTATAGTTAGGTAGTCAATAACACTGTAATTTCTTTCTCTAATTTTGCATAAGTTATTTTTTGTTTATATATTATGTTTAACCTTGTTGTAATTAAATATTAAAACAAAAAGGGATACAGGATCAGCAGCGTTTGTACTCCATGTTAGGAGCGGCTGCACATGGCGACTGTTCCTCATGTCAGAGGCGGCCATTTCTTTTGGAGCTAAGTCGGCCTGCCACTGAGTAGTGCTTCCAGTCTTAATGACAAAGGCAGATGCATTCTAATTCACCCAGTTTGCAGATAAGAAAGAAAGAAGAAGAAGACATATTAAAACACAAAGTATTGTGGTTATCCCTTATTTCTAAATAGGAAACGTTACAATATCCTAACTGAATTTTTTGCAAGTGTTTACGAATTTTTGGGACAACCCACAAATTATTTGATTAGAGAAAAGTTATAATTTGAGCAAAAAAGTTCCTTTTTATTTGAGATTTTGCAAGCTTTTGAGTAAATATAATCTTCACAAAGCAATAACGCGCCATCTATACATATAAAATGAAAGGATTTAAAAGCACGAATGTTTCTTTTATACATAATACAAACTTCTACTGCCCTTACTGCGATGAAAAAAAATATATTGGGAGGGCTTGGCTCATCAATGGTGAACCCTCCCAATATATTTTTCCATCGCAGTAAGGACAGTAGAAGTTTGCTTTATGTTTAAAAGAAACAATCGTGCTTTTAAATCCTTTCATTTTATAAATATAATCTTCACAATGGGCACACACACACACAAATACCATAATTTCTAAATTATTTTTTATATAATAAAATCATTTTGATATTATAAACAATAGTATTTGCCTTCGTTGT